TAAATGCAAGAACAATATGATAACATTAAACTAATGATCCATTTAAGAATGATTTACTTGAAAACTTTTAAACAAATGACCCATGCAAACAATCCCACAACATTGAACATACGGTTTAGAAAGGCCCATTAATGAAAATAAAAATGAAGTGAAATTGGAAAATTATTCATTATTAGAAAAAGAAATTGGAAATTTGACTTTAATCCAGGTATTATATATAAATTAAAGGGTAAATACAATTTAATAGCCAAACCTTTTCATTCTAAACAAAATAATATCCAAACCTTTTCAAAAACAAATTAATAGCCAAACCGTTAACTTTCCGTCCGGTCAACCGTTAGTTGACTCTGACGTGGCAAAATATTAAGTGAGATGAAAGGTTTTTTTATATGTGGCAAGAAGTCAAATATTTGACCATGCCACATAGATATTATATAATTTTTTTTAATTTAACTTTTACATATATCTAGATAAATAATGATAAAAGAGGAGGACTTTTGAGTGTCCTTTCTCTAATCAAATCTCCTTCTCCCTCTTCTCAAGCTTCTGGTTTCCTTATTCTGGGTTTTCTATTTGGTTACTGGGAATAAGGTGAACGATCAGTGACCACCTTACTTTGATGGGATTATATTAACATAATGATACACAGGGTCTCGATTAAGTGACCTAATTTTCCATTCTTGACAAAAACAAACCTAAAGAAGAAAACATAGCAGACCTAGGGTAACCGCCTGTTCTTCCATAATCGACGGCGTCGGCCGTGCGAAGCATCTGCTTTCAACGTCTAGGTGTACTGCGTCTGTCCCGGTGTGGCCGCGCCGCCCTCTCAACCTGCTTCATGACCTCGCTCGTCTCTTTTGCAGTCGTTCAAACACCCGCCATCACCGCCGCTGTGGTTTCGTCGATTCTCTAACCCCAGATCTAACCACCATCCGACCCAACTCCAGATCTCCAATCGCATGATAATCATCTACGCCAAGACCGCCTCTGCTCTCATTCACCCTCTCCGATCGTAGTGACGGTTGCTCTCCCCTCGTCTGACCATAACAACTACTTACCTTCTTCCCCTCGTCGTCGTACCCATCCCTCTCCTTTCGACCAGATTAGCTAAGAACGCTTGACGATTCACCTGCCTTTGGTTCTAGATTAACCAGATTTATTTGATGAGGAGGAGAAGAAGGAGATGGCACCACGAGAGGAGGGAAGTGATTGCGGTGAAAAAAGGAAGATGAGGAGAAAAAGATCGATACTGGTTGGTGAGAAGAAATCAATTTGGTGTTGAGGTTGGATTTGGAGAGTCAGGGGAGCAGGGAGGCGGAGATGAATTCGTTTGTAGGGGTGGGGATTTATGTTTTTATTTTTATAGTTTAATTATTATTTGTAACAATAATAATAAATAATTAAAAAAAATGATAAAAAAATATAGGCTGACGTGTACACATATTTGCCACGTCAGAGTCAACTAACAGTTGACCAGACGGGAAGTTAACAGTTTGGCTATTAATTTGTTTTTGAAAAGGTTTAGCTATTATTTTATTTAAAATGAAAGGTTTTGCTATTAAATTGTATTTACCCTAAATTAAAATTATAAAAGGGCACAAATTGGACAACTGTTTGGATCCAATGAATCTGAACAACGTTATTGTCACAATATTTGTGATCATAAATATAAATAAAAGTCGTATTCATTAATAAGAAGGTAAAAAGAAAAAACAGTTAAATATATATATATATATATATATATATATATATATATATATATATATGTCATGATCAAGAAAGCAAGCAATCCCACTATGAATGCCAATCACTTTTCAACTCGTATTTCGATCCTTGGACTAGAATTTAATTACGATAGAGTTTAAATGCTTGGAATCTCAATGTATATTTCCATGTCTAATAAATTTGATTGAACCCTTTTGCATGCAAATAACTAACTATGAATATGCAGATCATCAGCACGAAAAAGTGACTGGTATATCAGACTTGAATTGGACTATCTTGCTACGATTAGAAGTCTCGAAAGTTCCGCTGGCTCTCTCTTCTATCAGATTGGATTAGGGTTAAACCACTTGAAGTACTATAAATACTTCTCATACTCCCTATTATTTGCATCTCTCCGAAGTATAGTGAAGCTGCCTCTTTCCTGCCCGCGGACTAGCCAACAGTATAACACACATCGTGTTAGTGAACTATGTAAATCCATGTTGTTTGTTCGTTCTTGTTTTCTTTCTCTTGCTTTATCGAATCTTTTAATTTCCCGATCCGTAGAGAAACAGTCGTGACAATATATAGTGCACATGCAAATATATATTTTTTTTATAAAAACATTCAGAGATCATATATACTTTGTAATTTGTGGACTTTGTCCTAATAAACTACTTTTCAAACAATCGAAAAGACTACGGAAAGCCAGTCATATAACGATTGAAGTTTTCGTATGCATCAGACACCATATGCTTACCAATGGGCCGGATTACCGAAATTCAAATCTAAAACGTCTCGATCACTAAAGACTCTGATGCCATGTCAAGAGTATAGCACTAGTAAATAGTAAGTATAACATGATCATCTTTTTCCTATTTGAACTTTGACTTAGTTCGTCACGTACGTGTGAAAAATTGACCATGCAGTTGGTAATAGTACTCCAATAATTCAAGCCATGAGCTCAGATCATAGCTATCACTCCATCGCTTTCTGTAATCAAAATGTTGACTACCATTAATTGATGCAATTAAGTCAAATGTACGTCACTCCTTAATTACTATATATATTCTCCTCGTCTGTCGTAAAAAAAAATAATTGTGGCCGGCCTACGTACATGGCTTACCTACCCTTCATTAAACTTACACATTTTAAATTCGTATACTAATTATGTTGCACATCATATATAAATAAATGGGTCTGCTGACCGAATTTGAGGAAACGGCTGTTTGTTTCTACTAATTATATATATACTTATGAAATACAAAATGGATGTAATGAAATTTCATAAAATAAGGGCACTTTTATGGCATATCTGAATCTATGCATGCACCTATTGTCCATTAAAAAACTGCATTACTGCACTTTAGAGGATACAAAATATGGCAATCTAGCTAACTTAGCTTGGTGATGTATGTTACAACGATAACACGAATAATTATACTTATTGCGAGTTAAAAAAAATTGTTTATAAGAGTTTTCTACATAGCTAGGGTTTGTAGGAATCAACTATGGGTGTTGCATGGTACAACGATAATACACATAATTCTAATTGTTGCGAGATAAAAAGAAAATGCTTCTTAAGAAAGAGTCTGTCACGTCCGCAGTAATCTAACTTTGAAACTTCATTCTTTTAATGAGTGTCATCCATCTACCTTGTTAAACATCTCACACGATTACTTTATGTTTTTCTTAACGGTCGTAAATAGTAACACTAATTTTTCAACGATATTCACACACACCCACTCACTTGAGAGTGAATAAACAAACTATTGTTTCGTCCACTCTATTTTTTTTGAAAAGATTACAAACATAAATAATTTTTATTCTTTTAGTGCCTATAGCTTTGAACAAGGACCAACTCTAACTCTAACACACCGTTTAATATCTCAAAAGTTTGAAGGCTCCCAGGGGGCGTGTGGAAGAGGGATCACGGGGTCATTCTGTACACACTCAGGTGCCTGCAGTGTACCATGCTCGACCTACTGAGGCAGAAGGTAAAGCCAGTAAGAAGGCACAGCCTAGGCAGCAAGAGCCAGCCCTCCAGCTGGGTGGCGATCGTAATAACCTGAAAAAGTTTAGTCTCAAGAAGTCCCCCCGGATTAAGCTGGGCGGTGGGGCTAGACAATCTCAGCGACAGCTGTCGCCTAGAAAGAGGTCCACTCTCCCTCAACAGGACCCTAAGAGCCGCCAACAACCTAGTAACTACATGAAGAAAACCCTCCCTCCACAGCTGGTGATTGATCCTTTGGAGGCGGTCCTCGAGCAATCCCGAAGGGGTAGACTGATTTTGCAGGAGGAATCTGAGGAGGAAGAGAATGTAGTCCCTGCGCCTAAACCGAAGAAGGTTGCTCGTCAGCCAGCCAAGTCTGTGTCCCGACCAGGGGGCTCGGCACCCAGGGTTCGCCCACGCTTAAGAAAAGGAGGTGCTAGCATTCCCCTTCCTATGTCCTCTAAGGATGAGGGCGCTAATCCATCTGGTGGTGTGCAAGACCTGGAAGATGAGGAGGTTGATGTTAACATTGCTGCTCCCATCTCCATGGAGCACCAACAGGACTCTGACGCTGAAGAAGATCCATCACTGGGGGATATGCATGCTTTTGAAATCAAGCGTCGTTCGCCTGCTGGTGCTTCCCTGTCGCCCTCTCAAGTCATGAAAGGACGTGTTCACAGAGTGGCGGAGGCTTTTGAGGCGGGGCTTAGCATTGGGCAGGTTGAGGATGTTTCTTGCAAAGGGGGAAAGTTGCGACTGAATGAATACGGGTCTAATCTAAAGGACCCTATCATGGAGAACCGCAAGCGGGTGCTTGAGGAGGTGGAGGGAGAGGTGGGAGACCCACCTACCCCGAAGAAGCAATTTGTGGAATCAGAGGATGTTCTGGAAAAGGTGGAGGAAGCCAGCCTCGAGTGGCCCCCAGCCGATAAATGAGGTTTCTGGCCTGGAATGTGAGAGGAATTGGGCCATCCCTTACATTCCAAACTGCTTTAGGGCTTGTTCATTCGAATAAACCGGAGATTGTGTTTTTTTCTGAAACACGGTCGTGTCGACGTGTCGTATCCCGCCGTATGCGGGGTTTAGGTTTTTCTATTTCTCAGTGTTTCTTTGTAGATGCAGTCGATGCATCAGGTAGTTTAGTGTTTGCTTGATCCCCCGAGGTTGATGCTTCAATGTTTTTCCATTCCAATTTTTGTATTTGTTCGCAAATTAATAAAGATGATCTTTCTTATGTGGTGATTTTTGTCTACCTTAGCTGTAATAGTGCTCTTAGAACTATTCAGCTGGTCGAATTGCAAGACGTTTGTGCGAATATTAATCACCCTTATGTAATCATAGGTGATTTCCACACTATTCTTCACGTGTGGGAAAAGGATGGGGGCCGGGCTTGGAATGGTGCCCAAGCCATTAGCCTTCGGGATTTTGTTCATGATCTGGGACTCCATGACCCGAGTTTTCAAGGGGAGCAGTTCACTTGGACAAACAAACGTATGGTGCGGCATGTATTCGGGAACGTCTGGATAGGGCTCTTTGCTCCCAATCCTGGATTGATGCTTATCCAGTGACGCTAGCCAAGCATTTTATGGACCAGGGGTCGGATCATCGGGCACTGCTGCTCGCAGATAAGCCGTTTGCTCGGAATAGTCGACCTTTATTCCGTTTTGATGCCCGATGGGCGGATAACCCTGAAGTGAGGGCTATGGTCCAGTATGTCTGGCAGGAGGAGATCCAGGGTACCCCTATGTTTCGACTTTGGGAGCGCCTAAAGAAACTCCGTCACCTGCTTTATGATTGGAGCAGGGCGGGTACAACCAGTTCTCTGCGCAATATTAAGACACTCCAGGATGAGGTTGATAGGATAAAGTCGATCCATCCGGTGGATTGGGATGAGGTCAGAGTCCTGGAAACGGAGCTCTCCCGCCAATGGGAAGCTGAGGAAGTTTTCTGGCAGCATAAATCAAGGGTTAAATGGTTAAAAAAGGAGACCAGAATTCGGCCTATTTTCATACGGTCACGAGGGCTCGCGGTGGAAGAGGAACTTTGTTACCGGGCTTCGAAATGAGGAGGGTGAATGGGTCACTGAGGAATCCGGGAAGGCTACTATTGCCACCAATTTTTACCAGACCCTGTTCACTTCGGAATCTCAGGTTCCTAATATGGCTAAGAGGGTGGCGAATCTGCCGATTGCCCATAGCGTTACTCCGCAAATGAATGCGCATTTGACGACGGAGGTTTTACCGAGGGAGGTTCGGAATACGGTTTTCTCAATGGGATCGAAGCAGGCTCCAGGGTCAAATGGTTTCCCTGGGAAGATTTTTAAAGCTTTCTGGGATATTGTGGGCACTTCGGTGGTTGACGTAGTAATCTCCTTCTTCACTTCGAGTCGGATGCTGCGGAGTTTTAACCATACCTGGCTCACTTTGATCCCTAAAGTGGACTCGGTGGAAACAATTAGGAAATTGCGTCCGATTAGTCTCTGTCAGTTTATTTACAAGGTGATTACCAAAATCATGGCCGAGCGGTTGGCTAGCTTGCTCCCTCAGATTGTTTCGGAGGGGCAAAATGGGTTTATCAGAGACCGGTAGATTATTGATAACATCCTTATAAGACATGAATTAATGCACTATCTGAAGATCAAAAAGCAAGGTAAGAAAGGGTACATGGCTCTGAAGGTTGGCATGGAAAAGGCCTATGATAGAGTCGAATGGCCCTTCCTGCTTGCAGTTTTGGATAAGATGGGCTTTAATCCGGTCTGGCAGGGATGGATTCACGAATGTCTTCGCTCCCCTCTTTTTCGATGCTGATGAATGGTACGCCCTCTGGTTATTTTACTGTCTCTAGGGGCCTTTGCCAAGGGGACCCGCTCTCTCCTCTCTTATTTGTGCTTTGCACGGAGGGTTTTGCGGCCCTTCTTCGAAAGGCGATCACGGAGAAAAAATTAGAGGGGGTGAAAGTAGCTCCCCGGGCCCCACGAGTCTCGCACCTGTTCTTCGCGGATGATTCTTACTTATTCTTGCGAGGGTCTCTTCAAGAGTGTGAGAATTTAATTGAGGTGCTGAATGAGTATGAGGAATTGAGTGGCCAACGAGTTAATTTAGCGAAATCGGCGTTGTGTTTTAGCAAGAATATTTCCACGCCTGATCAGGATTTCTTTGCCACGATCCTGGGGGTTGGTGCTGTGGGGGTCCATGACAAATATCTGGGGCTTCCCTCGCTGGTCGCTTGATCCAAAATGGATACGTTCGGATATTTGGAGGATAAACTTTTAGAGAGACTGCAGGGCTGGAAGCAAATGACATTATCGTGGGCTGCGAAGGAAACTTTGATAAAATCCATAGCGTTGGCCCTGTCCCTGCATGTTATGTCCTGTTTTCGTGTTCCCCTAACTCTTTGTCGGCTTCTTGATAGACATGTGGCCCGTTTTTGGTGGGGTGCTGAGGAGAGCAGCCATAAGATTAGATGGGTGTCCTGGCGAAACATGTGCAGGAGTAAGCACGAGGGAGGGATGGGATTTCGCTAGTTTGAAAACTTCAATCAAGCTCTTCTGGCTAAGATAGGTTGGCGTATCCTTAATGAACCTCAATCGCTTCTTGCCCAGATTTATAAAGGCAAATACTTCCCTCAAGGGTCCTTCCTGAGCGCGACTGCTAGGTCTCGTCCCTCTTGGGGGTGGCAGAGTATCCTTCATGGGCGTCAGTTATTGGAGAGAGGATTACGATGGCAGGTTGGTAATGGCCAATTGATTTCCCTCCTTCATTCTAACTGGATCCCTATGTTCCAACTTGATCCCCCATGCTATAATCCACGGATTTTGCCTGAGGGGGGTGATCCTTTGGTGTCCGAGATTATTTCTCAGGGGGAGGGGAGGTGGTCTGATGAGAGGCTCCATCAGTGGTTTGACCCGCCTACCTGTAGGGCGATCAAGGCTATTCCTCTTCCTAGATGGGATGTGTCTGATAAGCTTATCTGGCATTTTACGGCTGACGGAGTCTTCTCGGTGAAGTCGGCTTACCATTTGGCTGTTGATTTGGACAGGAGGAGGGGTGGGTGGCGTGCTCTCGGTTAGCTGGATGGATAAACCGAGTTGGATAAGAGTGTGGGAGGCGAAGATCCCTCTGAAGTTGAAGGTTTTTGTGTGGCAAATCCTTAATCGGGCTCTACCAACTATGGAGGCGCTTATTGAGAAGAAGGTTCAGGTTCTCTCTCGGTGTCCAGTTTGTTGGGATGGCCCGGAGACGATGGAACACCTTTTCCTGTATTGTCCGGTTGCGCGGGCCCTCTGGGACTATTCAGAGCTGGAATACCTGGGGGAGGGTTGCCTCGGCACACTTTTCCTTTGTTTCTCAATCGTTTGTTGGGACTGATTCGTCAGCCGTCAGTGGTTATGGCTGTTGTTGCCGTCCTTTGGAGGATCTGGAGTTCTCGAAATTGGGTTGTCTTTGAGGGCAAAAATTTGGGATCCGGCGATTATGCGACAGTTTCACCAACGGTATGAGGAATGGGTGAGTCTATCTTCGGATCAGGCTCCGAGGGTGCCTATCACGTTGATGCAACCAACAACGCATGTGGGTGATTCCCATTTGGTTTGCACGTGGGACGGGGCTACTAAGGGTGGGTCGCATTCGGATGGTGGGATGGTTCTATTTGACTCAGCGCGGACACTCCTTCTGGCTAGAGGGGTTCAGTTTTCGAAAAATGGATGACCCGGGGATGGTGGAATTACTTGTGCTTAGGGAAGCGATTGTTTGGTGTATGGAGCAAGGCTTGTCGGAGTTCCTGTTTGAGGGCGATGGGAAGGTGATTATTGATAAAATAAACCAAGCCAACACGAGAGATAGCCGGCTGGGTGCTGTTTTGGAGGAGATTGGTCATTATTTTCGTACCCAATCTGATTTTAGTGTGCGTTTTGTAGGTTGGGAGAAAAATAAGGTAGCTCATTTGGTAGCTAGGAAAGTCTTTTCTTTGTATCCGACTATGAGTCGCTTCTTTGATTTCCAATCCTGACTGGTTTCCAGAGTGTAACTGTCTATCTTTTTATCAATACATGATATCTTTTGGGGAAAAAAATCCAAATCTTTCCCCACTACACATTGTGATTGTACAATATTTACTGGAATCTTAAAGCGAATATGGGTAAATAAAATGAAATATTTGTAAGTTCGTCATCCCCAGCAATCGAGAACATAAGAAATGGGATTTTTTATGAAAAGAGTGAAGACAAACAAGTCCAAGAGGAGGAGGTTTACAAGTTGCAACGAAAGAGGTAGGGGAAGAGTATGTCGTTATCTCATGACAGTGATCACATAACCAGTTCATATATACTAATTATATATATACACACACACAAAAACACAACTGGCCATCGTTATTGACCTTTGAAAATAATGGAGAGATCTTTGACACCCACAATTTTGGGAACAATTTCAACCATGTGCCCACCCTAGCTCGCTCCATCATTTCTCTCTTTTGTCACCTTCTAATTTTTTTTTTCTTTTCAAACAATGTTTTTTGTCCAAAATAATTACAATGAAATGGAAATGGAAGATAAACCGAATAAGATGAGCGTAGTTACATAAAAAAAACATGGTGTTCTTATGAGTTAACATTAAGATAAAACGAAACCAAATTCTCGAATCTACTACTCTTAATGAGGATTTTGTACCCATATATATATATATATATATTTTTAATACGGAGAATCTTGGCTAGCTAGTGATTTCTTCAACGACTCGCCACCACTTGAGCTACTTCATATAATCATTTAGATATGTTATGTTGTCCTCGAGTGTCTCAATAATTACATTATTCTCTGTAAAACTTAATGTCTTTCTGAGACCTCATTAGATAAACTCTTATGTTTTTTTTATTATGTTTGATCCACTTTCGAATTGACACAACTATTCCCATAAGTACCTCGTGTGGTAGTATCTAGTAAAGACCGTGCTTCGGTTATGACGTTATAGCGAAAGATATAACTTGAAAGAAAGAACGCATTATAAAGCCAAGACTTCACGTAAAATCTGTATCAGCGAACTAAAGAGCGAAATCGAAATTTACACCATACTCGCGTCATATGACTAATCCAAAATGCTTCTTTATTCCATATGAATTGTTCCCAAATTTGATAGAATTGGATTGGATTTTTTTGACACGAAAACTAGGGACATTTTTACTTGTACGCTGTGTTAAAGACAATCATAATATATAGAGATAGGTATTGACTGTATGAGACTATGAGTGTGTTAATTTGACCGATGAACAACCCAACGCCCACCACCCAAATTATACAACGTAATAATATGATAATAATATGCAATGAGTATCTTTCTTTTTTTTTTTTTAAATTTCTTGATTATTATTTATTTCTGGTAGTCTTTGTCCTGGACTCCTGGTGGTCTATATAACGCCAAATTCCTGCTCTTTCGCCATTGTCGCCGAGGGAGAGAGAAACTAAGCAAAACCACTCTTCACTCTCCGTCTCCCACCTTCCTTGTTCTCACTTCTCCACAAAAAATGGCCGTTACAATGGAGACCGCCGGCGCCGGCGCCGCCACAAATGAGATTCATAACGGCCACAACAACAACAAGTTGGCAGATTTCGACCCTCCCGCCAAACCCAAACGTAACAAGTACGCCTTCGCCTGTGCAATTCTGGCTTCCATGACCTCCATCCTGCTCGGCTATGGTCAGTCCACTTCCTCTGTTTCTACTATACGTTTTATTTTTCTTACGAATCGGAGCGACATAAAGTTGAGTCTCGATGTAACTGGCATCAAAAAAAATTTTATTTGTAAAATGTTACCAAAGTCGACAAATGAATCGAGAGATGTGAATTTTGGATTTTGTTTGGGTTTAATGTTTTGTAGATATTGGAGTGATGAGCGGGGCGGCGATCTTCATCAAGGACCAATTCAAGATCTCCGACACTCAAGTCGAGGTGCTGGTCGGAATGCTGAACATATACTCCTTGGTCGGATCGGCCGCCGCCGGGAGGACCTCCGACTGGATTGGACGCCGGTACACCATCGTCGTCGCCGGAGCCATCTTCTTCGTCGGAGCTCTGCTCATGGGATTCGCCCCCAACTACGCTTTCCTCATGGTCGGCCGGTTCGTCGCCGGCGTCGGCGTCGGATACGCCCTCATGATCGCCCCTGTCTACACCGCCGAAGTCTCCCCTGCTTCTTCCCGCGGCTTCCTCACCTCTTTCCCTGAAGTAAGTAGCACACCAATTTTCTGCGGTAAATTTGAATTAATTAGAAAAAAATGTTGAAATCTTATTAACTAATACAATTTCTAATTTTGTTACGAATTTATATCTTCAACCCAATTACGAAGCTGATTTTATCTATCGATTTGTTACGAGTTTGTAACTTCTCCTGGCTTCAATCTAGCTCCGTCAGGACCGTCACTAATCTATAAAAAGCTGATTTTGAGTACCAATTTGTTAACGAATTTATAAATTATCCCGACTTCAATCCAGCTCGTGGCTTCAATCTAGCTCCGCCACTAATTTTGGGTACACAATTTCCTTTTCCAGGTGTTCATCAACGCCGGAATTTTACTCGGCTACGTCTCCAACTACGCCTTCTCCAAGTGCCCGGACAACATCGGATGGAGGCTGATGCTCGGCGTCGGCGCAATCCCATCCGTCTTCCTCGCCGTCGGCGTCCTCGCGATGCCGGAATCCCCTCGTTGGCTGGTGATGCAGGGCCGACTCGGCGACGCCAAGAAAGTCCTCGACCGAACCTCCGACTCCCCTGAAGAATCCCAATTGCGACTCGCCGACATCAAAGAAGCCGCCGGAATCCCCGAGGAATGCAACGACGACGTCGTCAAGGTCGAAAAGAAATCCCACGGCGAGGGCGTGTGGAAGGAGCTCCTCCTCCGCCCCACACCCACCGTCCGCCACATCCTGATCTGCGCCGTGGGGATCCATTTCTTCCAGCAAGCCTCCGGCATCGACGCCGTCGTGCTCTACAGCCCGAGAATCTTCGAAAAGGCCGGAATCACCTCATCGGACAAGAAGCTCCTCGCCACCATCGCCGTCGGGTTCACGAAAACCGTCTTCATCCTCGTCGCCACTTTCCTCCTCGACCGGGTCGGGCGGCGGCCGCTGCTGCTCAGCAGCGTCGCCGGGATGGTGGTTTCCCTGGTAACCCTAGGGTGGAGCCTGGAAGTAATCGACCACACGGCCCATACGGTGGATTGGGCCGTGGGCCTGTGCATATCCATGGTCCTGGCCTACGTGGCGTTTTTCTCGATCGGGATGGGCCCGATTACTTGGGTCTACAGCTCGGAGATTTTCCCGCTCCGGCTGCGGGCCCAGGGGACGAGCATGGGGGTGGCGGTCAACAGGGTGGTCAGCGGGGTGATTTCGACCACGTTTATTTCGATGTACAAAGGGATCACGATCAGCGGCGCCTTCTTCTTGTTCGCCGGAATCGCCGCCGTGGCGTTTGTGTTCTTCTTCCTGTGTTATCCGGAGACGCAAGGGAGGACGTTGGAGGATATGCAGATTCTTTTCGGGAGTTTTATTGGGTGGAGGGCTTTGAAGCTTGAGAGGTTGAGGGAAAGGGAGGAGAAAAATGGGAGGGAAGTGGAATTGTTAGATATTAAGAAGTAAAGAAGAGTATTTAGTAGTGTGATATAATGGTGGTGGTTAATGTGTGGCATTTTGCAAAAAGTATTAAGTAATAATAAAAAAAAAGAGTCACATGATAATTTACTATATGTATATGTAGTTGGGTTTTTCCTTGTTGTTGTGTGTTTTGGTGAAAATGAGAAATGAAATGTGGAAAATGTGTTGTCACGTGATAGCGAGTTGAAATAGAATTCAGTTAATAGAAACAAGGTTGAGCCAGTGGAAGAGAGTTTCAAAAGTGAATTTTATGTTAATTGTGTTACATGTCATCTCGATGGAATCTAAGTTTATGGGTTTGATGGACTTGCACAGATCTATGTTTTCCATGTGCTTAAATCAGTTATTGGTGTTGAAGTGTCGAGTTGGCACGTGAAATTGTGGACAAGGCCTAATGGTACTATCACTAATCTTCAACCCGAAAATACCACATTGGAATCTTTTAAATAATACTTAACAATACAAGCCTTACCATATCACTCCAAACTTCAAAACAAGTAGTATTAACCCCTATACTTTGGATGGGGAGCTTAATGCTAATAAACAAATTGTGTGATTAGAGAAATGAGTGTTTCTGGCATTGACAGCTTGGCTAGCTGTTGGAGAAGGACACATGCATGTCTTCTTATATTATATATGCAGATGGGATTTGTCGTCACTTTATGGCTGCCAACTTGTTGTGGGTTAAGTAAAGTAATCATATAAGAATAGTCTTTGTTTAGGTTTTTTATAAGTAGAGATGGGTGGGGAGTTGTCAATTGTCATGGATCTGGCTGGCACCAGGTTCTCGGATCTTATTGATGGAGTGGTTGGCTTGGTAGGTGGATCTCACAGATTCATGGATTCTACCCACACACACCAGTAAAGGGACGAATTGTTTGTTTCCGAGTATATCTACAATTACTAAGGGAAATTTTGTAGTGATTTTAAGCAATTTTTTGAGCTTCAAACTCACATTCGCGGTATTTTGTTAATTACTCTTTTTTATGTGGGATTTCATATTATAAAAAAGGACTAATATAATGAAATGACCCACAATGGAAAATAAAAAAACTAGATAATCTCAAAAAGTTGGTCTAGTGATAATGTGGAGATGAGAACATCTACCATACTATGAAATCAAGATAAATATAAATAATTAAGGACACATTATACTGGTGATGTATTTGTAACAAGTACGTAATGCACAATTTATGTACTTAAAATAACTCCTCTTTTTTTTTTTTATAAGAGTGACATAGATTTCACGAATTTATAGCGAAAGCCACATAAATTTGCATGAAATCTCAGCTGGTTTTGATACATCTATAACATTAGACATATGTAAACATTCTCAAATTACATGTTACCAATATCATAAAAAATTATATATATGAACAGAAAAAGCAATGAAATAGTGTGTAAATTACAGAGTAGATAACCTAATTTCCGAGCACCTCATAATAGTTGCCTGCAGCACAAGGAAAGGGAATACAAATGGTTGATTTCCATTAGTAGAACAGGGTGGAAGAAACTGCATCTATTACAGAAAAGCTTAACAAAAATCACAATGATCTAGCAGTAGGTTTACACACAATACAAGACCTTTTTTTTTTTTTTGCCACTCAAGTTATTTTCTACAAATTACCTCCCATCTCCTCTCAAGATGGTAATATATATACTAACAATTGCCCTATTTCACAGCCTACTACCTCAAAAAAATAAATTAGAAACAAAAATCGAAAAAGCCTAAGAGAAAACATGTACATTATAAGACAGTGGGACGTCTCCTAATTGAGGGATGAATCATTTCTCAATTCCCTGCTGCAGATACTGTATCAAGTCATAGCCGGCGGTCGTCCATTTGTTGTAGGCATCTGTGCAAACATGGATCATGAAATTCGCAGCTTCTCGCTCGGTCATCTCCGGATGGAATCTCTTACGGAGATTCCCAATTGGGTCTCCCCGACTGAAGCAAGGCAACCCGCTCTCGAGCATCATCAGTACCGTATTGATGATCCCGTCCATGTATCTACGAGCTGCTAGGTATCCTTTCACGCACAAGCTGCAGAGTAGAGGTGCACCAAGAAGAAATGGACAATGAGAACACCGGAAAGCAGTGTTCAGTTAGTGGGAAAGCATTAACCGCGACTGCATAGCCATTACCTTACGAATTGGTTCCAGGTTTCGCTCTTCATAACACCTGACGGATCCAGTAACTGAGTCATCTCGTGGCTCAGTTTGAAATGAGCACTCTCGAACCGCATGTTTCCACCAGGGGAAGTTTCCAATATGAAGCCAAAATCAATGTGCACTAGTCTCCCGTCGCTGCAGTGACACAAGCAATCAGTGAACTTTGACATACATGTGCCAGTTTATCTATGGGTCTTTTGGAATGCTATCCAAGTTGACAATCTATCTATTTTAAAAGCTACGTATTCTTCACAATCAAGCTTACCTAATCTGACAAGCTATCTATTTTCAAAGGTTACGTGTTCTTCACAATCAGCCAATTTTGACCATACACAATCAAAACGGCCTCATAATCATTTGCCTCTCCCTTTATTCAATTCAAAAGTGTTTACATCGTAAAATATGAGCAACCATCAAAGTATATTTCAAACATTCAAAAGCCATCACTTGGAAATGTTGAATATAGAGTTTTGACGCCTACGGCACCAGTTGGATTTAGAACTTAGACTCCGGCTGGCTAATTTTGTTTCAAAGTCAGATAGAGGGAAGAGAAAAACCAGGAAAGATAAGAACGTGTTCACAACTTCACATACCTATCGAAAAGCAAGTTCCCATTGTGTCTATCCTTTGGTTGAAGTAGAAGGCTGGCAACTGCATAACCAGCACTGCTGATAATGAAGTTTTCACGTGCGGTTTCAAAACTAGGAGACCCAACTGGGCCAAAGTCTTGCTGAAAGATCTCATACAAACCACCATCAGTCGTTTCACCCATCTGACTTCGACTCCGTGAGTTAGGCACAACCTGTACAATCCAAAAAAGACTTTATTACCAAGGGCAAACAGCTCTCTGAGAAATGTACACTTCACTACGAGGGCATACAAAGAGGCACTTGATACCATCTTGTCTGGCATCTGAGGTAACGAAGGAACTAATTGAAAGCTTACTCTGAAAGGATAATGCATGCAAATTCAGGTACCCACCTCGATTATACCTCTCTCTGGGCCAGTTGGCAAGACACCATAGGGAAACAAATAGAGATTAAGTCCAATTGCTCCATAGATGTCTCTAAGAAGCGCTATCACTTGAAGGGCAAGAACATCTTGTCTACAATCATCTCCAACCTATATAGAGAATATTGATCAAACTTCCACATCCAGAAGATTTTGTTCACGAGCCAGTCCATTATTGTCGTTTTAATGTTCCGCAGATTCACAGAAGAGTTCAGGAGATATAAGAGGACTGTAGGCATGTCATGAGCCAGAAATGCAGAATGGGACATGATATATGCACCAGACAGACATCTGAGAAGTTACTTTATGAACCAGTCCAAGGCTTAATGAAGAGATAGATATTTGCATTTGAAACTAGATTGAACTGGATGTTTCACTCAATAGCACCAATAGGCCAACCACTTGAGGTACAATTACAATAGATGATACACTTTAGCCGACAACGATGATTCCAAAGCGTACCTTGAAAATGCAAGCTTGAGGTTTAATATCGTTGGGGTCACCATCACGATCAACTACATCAAACGTCACCATAATTGGAACTTTTGCAGCCGATTGCAAGGGTATGCCACTATCAACCCGGATACCTCTGACAAACTTGCTAGGTGCAGTCGGTAAATAGAGATCGTCTCCTCGCATCTGAATTTTCTCCAACTCCCTGTCCCACCAACCATAGTGAATTTATAACAGCCAATCACAACACCAAAAAGAAAAGAGAGACATAATCAGCTAGCACTCGGTAAGAAAAGAAGCATACGTTCGGATACCAGCCCGACGCTCATCCTTGGGAAGTGGAAGGAGGACACCAGAAATTGATGTAACTTCATCAAAAAAATCAAATTCCCTTTGAAAGATGTCACGGGCCTTATCATTGAAACCATCAATGATATGCTCTCGAACAACCGGCAAAATCTCTTGGAAGGAATTATTCTGAAATAACAGTAAGCTCGTATATGATTATCCTCCATTCAACGTCCCAGAGAAGGGGATTATAGAACACTGAGTGCTGTTGATTAGCCAGTATTTGAGTATATTCTAACAAGTCTTAGAATAGCTTAAACTGAAAAGGGCAGAACCTTAATAACAGCAGCAGGATCTTTTACTGCTCCTTCTGGTTCACACATCTCACCCTGTCATGAATAAAACAATTCATTCCTTAGAATAAGAGAATATATGTACAGAATTACTATCAAAAGAAATACTTCTGCAAGAAAAAAAAAAAAAAAAAAAAAAGCAGCGGCGATACTAAAAACTCCAAAAAGTATATCATGCCACATTAACCTGTAATTGCCAAATCAGAATATGGGCAAATATATCACTTCGTTGAGCAGCTCTAAGCAAATATCCTTCAACTAGCTTCTGCAACATGATTCGAGCACGTTAGAAAATGTTAGAATGTTGATTTAATTGAAACAGAACTTTCTGACGCAAGCATACACATACAACTGGAGTGTTGTAGCTTCGCACAACTATTTTATTGACTATGCTCCACTTTCGAGGTTACTATTTAGCATACTTAAGCATTGAGCCCTTAACACAACTCCAGTCAAACCCTTAACACAACTCCAGTCCCCAGATACTAAGACTAGCAGAACCCTAGGTCCACCAACAAGCTTCGAGCATTTACCTTAACATGCCGCTAGGTACTATAGAAACAAAAACATAAAATAAAGAGATCAACTTGCTCACAGATAACCCACCCCGTCATCATAGCGCAGAGACTGAACTAATTGTGGCATGAAAAAGGTCACACGCTCAGGAGGATAAGACTCCATAACTCTCAGAACATATGCCATTACACGGGGATGGCCTTTGTATGAAGGAGTCAGGAACTCGAGTGCTTGTGTTATTGAACAAGCAGCCCAGTGCGGTAATTGTTGCAAAAGTACCGAGTCTTCATCAACGGCTTTTGGGGTAACAAAGTAAGGCAATGCCTCTGGTATGGTACGCACATCCAAAATATGTGACTGCAAATAAAACACCAGTATAAGCAAAAACATAAAGCGAGTAGGATAAAAATGATACAGAACACAACTACAATTAAACGGTCATTCCAGCTAAGTTCATTGCAGCAGGAATATAGTCCATGCACATTGCTTTCAGAACACGTCTTAGCATAACAGTATCTGATATGAGAAAGAATATTGATAAAACACCTTCATACATAAGTTCTAACCACATCTCAAACACACCTGAACCAGCTGAGTAACTTCAGCCTTCAAAGTAGCATTTGCAGGGAACCTTGATGCCATGCATAGGGCAATGCGGGGATCCACAGAGAAAGCAGTCCTTGCATATTCAACCCATTTATCTGAGCTGATTTTAGGACGAGAAGCACTTTCCCTTATATATAAAAAGAACACTTTTAAGTTTATCACAGCAGAATTACCTATAACCAGGGAAAATAATATAAGACAAATATATTTGCGATTATTTCCACTGCTCATAATTACTTTGTGTTAGTAGGTTGCGCCCACACTTCAAGCCGATCAGCCTCATGCTGACTTAACATCAAAAGCAACTGTTTCCGCTTTTCCCGTCCAATGGCATAACTCTCCATATGACCCCACACAGGGTGATGTTCATCATTCTGCAGTTAATTGATTTTGTCAACAAAATCAAATTTTCGTTCCGGAAAGAAAATAAATGAACCAGAAGAGTGACTATGGAGAATGGAAGACTATATTTTTCTTAGAAGGAAGAATCAGGCGACAAGACCATCTATTTCCGATTAGCTATAACTCTTACCATATCAACCAACGAACTTCCGTTCTCGGTTCCCGGACCCTTCGAATCAGATTGAGTAGCATCCCCTCGGTCATTGGACAGATAGTGAACGAATATAGATACAGATTGAGCCTCGCTCTGAGCGAAATTCATATACTTCAACTCAAACCACTCGGGTTCAAAAGCAAACCAACCCAAACAGGCCCTGCACAAAGAAAAAGCTAAATATAAAATTTCTAGTAGCAT